ACTGGTGGGACGGGAAGTGATCCAGTATAATCCACACCAGTAACATCAAAGGGCTAGTCAGGGTTGTGATGATTTGTACGAGTATACAATTGGCCAAGGATAATGTATAATCCTTGCACATAAGTGTAAGTACACTTGTTTTAACGTGTATTTATTGGTATGCAGTAAACATATTATAAGTACATAAACAATTAAGTTTTTACTGATTACAGCCAACTAATACATTGAGGTCAAACAGGTATAACTTAAAACACAGATAAAACGTAGGTTTGCCAATTTAAACACTGAAATGAGTCAAAATACTTAAAGGTAAAAACCAAATATCCTAATTATTGCCTGAGATGCAGCAGGTCATTCTCAGCTTCTGTTAATATTTGTCTTAAATGACACGAAGAGAATATCCGATTTTCACATGAGAATTCCTCTGTAGACATTGCAGGTTAGTCTGATAGTTCAGACAATGGGTTAGACAAACTATTCCTATTTCCGGAATGTGCAAGATGTCTTCTATGCAGTTTGACAATAGTATCTTTTGTTCTTCCAGTAAACGCTTTTAACAATTTCATATCTCTGTTTCCGGCAAGTAAAGATAACAGACAAAATAAGATATCACTTTCGGTAGGATATGTGTTCGTGTGCTCTCACCTTTCCCGTTCAAACTGTGGCGCCACACGTTTAGGCATTAAGATGGTCGACTTGAACTCTGCTGTAGAAATGTCCGCCAGGTGATTCAATGCAAACTCAGGACTTCCCCTTCAAAAGTTTTGATGCATATAACATTTACTCTGTAAAACTTTGTAACACAGCCATCATAGTTTCATTAAAAATTGATCTTATAAAGACGGTTAGCGATATATAGTGTAGTGGATGCGTGAAGCCGGGGATGTTACAAAAATCTCAAACGGAGACCTTGAAATGCTTAAGCAGTATGCAAGGTAACACTAAACAAAAGGGTATGGTATGGAAGTTCTATCTAACATGTATATAAACGACGGCAATATGTTCAGATTAAACTGTATATATAAATATATATTAGCAACAATAAAAATGTTTGATAGCATTGGTTGTTGGCATACATAACAGTTCAACAAGATATTGTGAGACTCATCTTTTAACAGCAAACATTTCATCCAAAAGAAATGTAACTCAATAAATGGTGTCTTATAGCATTGTTAATTACATGTAGGAGTTCGCTAAGTAGTAACACGCATGGGGTTGGATATATAGAGAATGTGGGGATATATTTAAGGACATCAAATCTGTACATACTTGTGAAGGACATTCAGCCTGTTGATGCGTTTGAGATTATTCAGGAACACCTCGAATTTATAGCTCTCCACTGGAATACTGGGATACGTTTTCCCGTGTTCCGCTTTCCACGCTCTAAAACAGTATAAATACATGAACATATATTATAAAAAAGTGACTAACACTCTATAGCATGATATTCTGTCCATGCCCTTTTTTCACAAATGTTGCAACAAAATCAGTGTCACTTTTATATGAATGTGACAATCAGATCACACTTGCCTATACAAAAAATGGCCACCGCCCATCTTCGAGCTCCAAGGGTTCTTCTTTCGATAACATTTTTTTCTCTACACGAACATATTTATATCGGAACCCCTGAAAAATGACGGGAGAACATAAATAACCCCAAGATGGCCCGCTATAATAGGTCCAGTTGAAGTGTTCTGTTTGCTATGTTTAAAACAACCAAGTGTTTTATTTTGAATATTTTGCACACGATGATGACATGTTTGATGTGTGTATGGGTATCTGTTGATTTCATTTCATATACCAGATTTGCCGGATTCGAAGTGATCCTCTTACCCATTTCCTATGGCTTTTACGAAAGTGAGACATAGCAGAGTGTTAAGGTAAAGCTACTATATTACAAATTATATATCTGAACACAGAGGCATTAATATAATCCATAGACACAGGACTGGTACTGTAGATAGACCTTATCTCAATGCAATAATACTACAATGCATAAATAGTGAAATATAGCCACACTTACCTGAACAGATACCTTGCTCTGTCCGCATCCTCCGGGTATGTCCATGTCCTAAACATGCATAACAAATATAACAGACTGAGTACACAGTATTTCCATTTGCATAGGTTATTTGGTAGATTTTGGCTTTTATACATCCACATTTTGTTTAGATATTTTTTTCGAATTACAGTGTAAGAGGCTTTGGTCATACATTGTATATCGAGAAAACATTTACTTAATTGACCCACAGGTACTATAGCCTCGTCTACCCACTAGGGATTTAGCGTGTCATCCCGTGGACAGCACATCCACTATGTCCGCCAAACTGAAATTCGAGATTTTTTCGATGTTTCATGATATCTACCGAAAGTCATACTGCGTGATATATGGCAAATCATACATCAAATTAAAGAACAATTATTTCCCTGTCGATCTAGACTGCTCCCGGCGTCATACTATGAACAGTTATGACGAAATCACAGGTTTTCTGGAACGGGGTCATTTTACTAGGGGGACAGAGTTAGCAACCTTGATTATAGTATAGGTGTATTGTCAGACGAGGCTAGTACCTGTGATTGACCCTTGACACATATATGTGGTGGTGGCTAAAAAAGTGATAACTTAATATATCCACGTGAAATTCGCCATAGATGCAAATGAATATGACACAGCACGAACAAATGGCATAATGAACAAAATCACAATCGCCATGCCTGTCTACAATGCATACCATCTAACCGGATTGTAGTCCCACTGCGTCTAGCGCGTCATTTGATATCGCGCTCAATACAGTGGACCACTTGCCGTAAAGCGAAAGTAGGTCGACACAGATTGAACGTAAACACAGCCAATTTGAAAGAAAGAAAAAATGAAAAATCCAAGGATATTTATCAAACACGAGGCTGTATTTTCATCACATGGATATTCAACCTTAACATAGGCTGTTACAATATCCAAAACATGTTATGTAGGATTCTCATACGCAGTTGAAACGACGCTGAAACTGTAAACAAAGAGTGATACTAGTGTTGACTTACTTGGCAAGCGTCAAAGAAACCAGGGCTAGAATACAGACGATATGGTTCAGACTACTGGCCATACTGACAAACCAAACACAGTAAAAAAGCAGTCAGCACGGTCCCCTGTCGATGTAAAGTATAAAAGTCACACGTTATCCAGTCAGCTGATTTCACTTGAGCAGAGTCCAGTGTTTGAGAAGTATGTATGTGCGAGAGAAATTTGTTACCCTGCAAAATTGTGCCCTTCAGAACTAAACATTGTAACTTGTCACATGTAGAAAATCGTTACTTGTAACACGGAGAAGTTTGCCTTTGCAGTAATTAAAGCATAGCATTATATCAGTTATTACCAATTAATATAAATTATGACGTTGTCGTGTGGGATGGGGATGGGGTTTGGTTGGGGTGTCTGTTCAGTTCTAAAGAGAGAAAATAACAGACAAACTCCTATTATCTATAAGAAATAGTTATGTTAGGAATGATATCTGGATTCCCTGTACATGTATATACATTTATGATGTTTTTTCTTGTTGTTATGATTTCAGAACACCATTTCGTAACCGTAGTCGTGTTGCAGTATTCACTCACTCTTTTTAACAGGAGATAACTGTCATTATATAGCACGTATGGCTGAGGAAAACTACACACTTTAACGTGTCAAGAGCATTTCTGATATAAAGGTGAGTCATATGTTTGTAATGTGGGATTATCGCTCGATAACGATCCTCCCTTTGCTGGCCTTCAGTGGCATTTACGTGAAAATGTGGTAGCAGTAATAAAGAATCACTATGAGAAGCAAAAATGGCGTTGTTCCTCTCCATATTTTTTAACATGATATGTTATATAGCATCAAGATTAGGTACACGTAAGTTATGCGATAATATTAATAATATTAACTTTTCTCCAGCTAATTTTTGTACAACTCTCAAAGTCCCATATGATAAAAGTAAGTTATATATGGGAACTCGTTAGAGATCGTCTCATTTTCTGGGGACGTTAGTCGTTCGTACTTCCAAACACTCGTGATCATTCTCTGTAAACATCAAGGGTATTTTTGAAACCTACTCTTACAATAACAACGCTATTTCAGAGCGTATTTGAGAGATAACGTTTCCCTCGCGTTATTGAATACGTCACAGCGGATATTATCTAAATCGTTGTATTAATGGACAAATATATTGGCCAAGATAACACTATTACAGCATCACGTCACTTAATCCTTCAAGCTGTGCATTCCTATTTGGTGTGCCGTTTCGTGTAAACAAACATTGTTAATTTCTACATGGCTGAAACGCTCAGTCAACAATGGACATTTGAAATTAAAAGAACAATGCATATCGACACTCCCCCGCTGACATTTGACCACAAGTATATAAAGGTAAAATCGTTCGACTTTTTAATCCATTTCGCCTTTCCTATCACTATGACATGGCTGCCTAGCTCCGTTCTACCGGGATTTATGCTGATTCTGTCGAGTTGTTTATGGCTCCATCCGGTGGACAGCAGCAGGAAAACGATGGATTGCTCCCCTCAGGTAACGACTGTGTATCAGCGGACCCCGCTAGTCCGGACCCAAGTTATCAAACACTCACAGTCCGGACTAGCGAGAGTTCACTTTACACGGGATTTGCTGTCAAACAGTAAGTTAATTGAACTGGTAAAAAATGTAATACAATAACGTATATATGTTAGAAATGCATGTTAATAATACTTGAACTGTTGTTGAGGGATGTATAAGATGAAGGGCTGTTTCACCTCCAGACAACACTTATCTGTCCACACAAGTGTTATCAACAGAGTGAAATAAAAGATTGAGTACATAACATACATTTAGCTACAAATCACCTAATAACTCTTATATCAATTACATTGTTATAAACTATGAAATAACTTTTAGCGGCGAAAAATATGCTTAAGAAATAGTGTTAGGTCTCAACTGCAATGAACTGGGTGCTCTATTCAACATCCGACATTTTTCTTATTTATTATTAGACTCAGGTTAATTTTACTGATATCTTAAAACAGCGTAATTGCCGATAATAGCTTTTGTTCTATTAGACATAAAAACATCATGTACCGTAGAATGTTTGAACAAACATCTGATCTGTTTCCTCTGCTATTCATATTGAAGATGTAGCGATAATCCCATAACGATACTTTTCAATCATCTTGAAATATAGACAGCACAGTGCTATCGAAGTTAGTTTTAATGATATACCTTTTTGCTGTAAAATTGCTTTGTTCTTTCTGTAAATTCCTTTCCTTTCCTCTCTCGCAGAGATCTCTTCCTACTTTATCTGTATATTTGTTTACTTTTGTTTGTCCATTTTTCAACTTTGACTTTTGCTTAGTTATTTTTCTGTTGAAGTATTGGTTTAGTTTTGACCTTGATGTTCAATGTTTAATTTTCCATCAGCACTACCGCGTGACTTGTTAATGTTTGAGGTGAAATATGTTCTATCAGGTGTGAAGTAGTAATGTTTGACATACCTGGTCGTGTAAATTGTATTACATACCTGGTCGTGTAAATTGTATTACATACCTGGGGCTCCTGGGACAGTAGATAGTCCATGTACATCATGTGTGACCCCAGTTCCGGGACAGGGTACATCAAGTTGAGACCTCGTTGGCTATATTTATATTTCTAGTTTGGTGACGATGTCACCCTAGTATAAATACATAGATTCAACCTATGTTTAACATTATTTGTATCACATATTTTATTTGACATGGTTTGAACGGTCTATCAACACAGTGAAGCTATCCTGGACCAAATCCCTACAGGTTTAGGAAAAAATATTTCCTGTTGTGGACTATTACTTATGCTTATGAGGCGACTAACCTGGGACGTATGTACTTCTGTGTGCTCTACTCTTGGAATAGAATAAATCAATACTGATTCAATTTCACCTTACAATATTTAGCATATAAATATATGTATGTATTACGTTCTTTTCAGCAAGTCTTTTTATATAAAGAGTGTTTTCATCAGTTTCCTTCTGTTTATATGTATATACACTTTTAACCCGTTTTCTATCGTATGCTCATGTATGACGTAACTTATATAGTGTTAATGGGGCACTAAAACAGTATAAGATAGAATGTAAATGTAAAGCTAATTAAGTTGTCGGTACGACATATAATCTTCATAATATCATGGAATACAGATCTGTCACATAAACACAGAATACCGGAAATAACACTTGTCTAGACAAGACGGGGACATTAATGCATAGAAAAACAAGGCTAATGAGTATGAACAAAGACACTCATACCAGGAGAAATAATAAAAAAAAGTAATGTAATCAGAATAAAGAGCCGTTTAAAGTAGTTATAGCACACCTGTTAACGAACACCAAGGTATAATTACTGTCGTTATAGCACACCGGTTAACGAACACCAAGGTATAATTCCTGTCGTTATAGCACACCTGTTAATGAACACCAAGGTATAATTACTGTGGTTATAGCACACCTGTTAACGAACACTAAGGGATAATTACTGTCGTTATAGCCCACCTGTTAACGGACACCAAGGAATAATTACTGTAGTTATAGCACACCTGTTAACAGACACCAAGGTATAATTACTGCCGTTATAGCACACCTGTTAACGAACACCAAGGAATCATTACTGCCGTTATAGCACACCTGTTAACGGGTACTAAGGTATAATTACTGTAGTCATAGCACACCTGTTCACGGACACCAAGGTATAATTACTTGTTAACGAACACCAAGGTATACTTACTGTCGTTATAGCACACCGGTTAACGAACACCAAGGTATACTTACTGTCGTTATAGCACACCGGTTAACGAACACCAAGGTATAATTACTGTGGTTATAGCACACCTGTTAACGAACACTAAGGGATAATTACTGTCGTTATAGAACACCTGTTAACGGACACCAAGGAATAATTACTGTCGTTATAGCACGCCTGTTAACCGATACTAAGGTATAACTACTGTAGTTATAGCACACCTGGTAACGGAGACCAAGGGAGAATTACTGTAGTTATAGCACACCTGTTAACGAACACCAAGGAATAATTACTGTCGTTATAGCAGACCTGTTAACGGACACCAAGGTATAATTACTTGTTAACGAACACCAAGGTATACTTACTGTCGTTATAGCACACCGGTTAACGAACACCAAGGTATACTTACTGTCGTTATAGCACACCGGTTAACGAACACCAAGGTATAATTACTGTCGTTATAGCACACCTGTTAACGGATACTAAGGTATAATTACTGTAGTTATAGCACACCTGTTCACGGACACCGAGGTATAATTACTGTAGTTATAGCACACCTGTTAACGGACACCAAGGTATAATTACTGTCGTTATAGCACACCCGTTAACGGACACTAAGGTATAATTACTGTAGTTATAGCACACCTGTTAACGAACACTAAGGTATAATTACTGTCGTTATAGAACACCTGTTAACGGACACCAAGGTATAATTACTGTCGTTATAGCACATCTGTTAACCGACACCAAGGTATAATTACTGTCGTTATAGCACACCTGTTAACGAACACCAAGGTATAATTACTGTCGTTATAGCACACCTGTTAACGGACACCAAAGTATAATTACTGTAGATATAGCACACCTGTTAACGGACACCAAGGTATAATTACTGTCGTTATAGTACACCTGTTAACGGACACCAATGTATAATTACTGTCGTTATAGCACACCTGTTAACGGACACCAAGGTACAATTACTGTCGTTATAGCACACCTATTAACGGACACCAAGGTATAATTACTGTCGTTATAGCACACCTGTTAACGGACACCAAGGTATAATTTCTGTCGTTATAGCACACCTGTTAACGGACACCAAAGTCTAATTACTGTAGATATAGCACACCTGTTAACGGACACCAAGGTTTAATTACTGTCGTTATAGCACCCCTGTTAACGGACACCAACGTATAATTACTGTCGTTATAGCACACCTGTTCACGGACACCAAGGTATAATTACTGTCGTTATAGCACACTTGTTAACGGACACCAAGGTACAATTACTGTCGTTATAGCACACCTATTAATGGACACCAAGGTATAATTACTGTCGTTATAGCACACCTATTAACGGACACCGAGGTATAATTACTGTCGTTATAGCACACCTGTTAACGGACACCAACACGTTTATGGAAATGAAAGCAGGGAAATGAATGAAGGAGGAAAAATAAAACAAAACACATTCCAAAATATCCTTCTTAAATCACGACAGGAATTATACCTCGGTGTCCGTTAACATACATGAATTTATGTATTTATACTAGGGTGACATCGTCACCAAACTAGAAATATAAATATAGCCAACGAGGTCTCAACCTGATGTACCCTGTCCCGGAACTAAGGTCACACCAGATAAGACGGTCAGATTTGAACATAAGAACTAAGACGCACTAATTTGTAAACAAAGGAAGACAGACATTCATATTAGAATGGAAAACACCAATGCTTTGTGTAGTACCTCTATTGTGTCAGTCAGAGGAGAGAAAAACTTCAACGCTTTGTGTAGAACCTCTATCCTGTCAGTCAGAGGAGAGCAAAACACCAACGATTTGTGTAGTACCTCAATCGTGTCAGTCAGAGGAGAGCAAGACATCAACGTTTTGTGTAGTACCTCTATCATGTCAGTCATTGGAGAGCAAAACATCAACGTTTTGTGTTGTACCTCTATCATGTCAGTCAGAGGATAGCAAGACATCAACGTTTTGTGTAGTACCTCTATCGTGTCAGTCAGAGGAGAGCAAAACAGTAGAAAGGCATTAACTTCTTGACGAAGAAGTTATTGGGATGGAAAAAATAAATCACATTAAAAATGACTGCCAGAGATAGAAAAGGAAGAAAAGCGGCGGGGGGCTTTGTGTGGCTGTGAACACGAAATAGTGGATAATGCTAATACAGAGGTCGGCGACAATGGAAGTTACAATAGTCGTAAACCAAGGACTTGGGCGTTATTGGTCGTGTTTGGCCTCGTGAAAAGTAAAAATAAAATCGGCTTGAATTTATTTACAAATTTTTGTTCTTAACATCTTATTGCTACATGTAATAGTGGCTATCTTTTGTTGGTGTAGATATGTTTTCCAATGCGAATTCGTAGAAACCATACCATAGCAAAATATTGCGTTGCTATGCAGAAGTAGTCAAAATATGGTGTTTTGGACAGTTAGCTTATCTTCTAAACCAGTTGTCGAATGAATTTGAGATTTCATTTTTGCGTAATTCATATATTATAGATAACGAATATAGCAACTTATTCTAAATCCCCGATAATACCGGAAATAACCCTTAATATTGCAATGATAATGATTATGAACACGCAAGTGCAAACATATGAATACAGAGGGTTCCGCATTAATGACAAAATAACATAACTGTGTGTACGTAAATATACTATGGGATACAGCAAATCACACAAAGCGTATACATCAGTTTCAATTACTATCATGGGGATACAAGAAGTAAACTATTTTGCCAAGTCTGCATTAGTGATGTCAACATGAAATAATGACAACCACCGATATTTATTGAACAATTCTTTCGTTTTTGAAATCTATTTGACCTTTTATTTTGATTGACAGGCAGATCTCCCCTGTACAGTGTACACCTATAATGGTAAGAAAACCGATAAAGATGAAGACACGTGTACATTGTATGTACAGAGTGCAGTGTAGATAAAATATGTGTGTATAATGCATATCCATTTCCTATAAGCCGTAATCAGATATGTATGGTGGTATATATATGCCATCAATTGTCGACTTGCAAGCTACAATGTACTTATGTCGACATGATGCTAAACAGATGTAGGCATAATTTATGAATACGCGCAATAACGTTTAAATTATGTCGACAATTCTTTTAATTTTCTGAGATAATTTTGCCGAAATAATTATCACGTAAGTAGGTAACTCTGCTTTTCATCATGTTAATTCTAAGATGTGATATCGACTTGCCACTTATTAAATAATTCTCCAAGAAATTATCACGTATCTTATTTTGCTGATATACAAAAACCTGAATTAAGGCTTAATCGTTCTTAAACCTAATTATGAGATATTAATATACCGTGTGATAATGGTTTTGGTTAACTCCTCGATTGGTTTTGCATAAATAAGTGGCAAGACGGTGTCACATCTGAGCATTTACATGTTATATAGTTCCACGCCAGGCCGATTTGTCTCTGATGCCTTTTCCCTATGTAGATGAAGAGGTATCTAATCGCAATTGTGTACATAAATAATTGTCTTTTGTTTGCTTGTAATTAATATGTTTTGTTAATTTAAATGGGCAACTTTTAAAAGATATTTAAGCTGTTATTTGCATTGTTTTCATTTTCAATTTTACCACAACGTTATTGAAAATGATACATGCGTAGGGCATTGTGAATGTATTTTGAGACCTTATCCAATGTGTGCTTGTCATTGAGGAAAAGTTTATATCAGATATTGATTTAATCCTCTAAACTTCTAATATCACACCCAGAAAGATTACAGGTACATGTACATGCAAGAACAAAATGCGTTTCAGTTATCAAATTCCTGTGGTTCAGTGTCGTCGGAAGCATGATAATTTGGTATTAAATTCCGTATTTCGACATAGACTGTGCTGACCGGGGGTTTGAGGCTCGTCACGTGGATCTTTTTTCTGGGAGTGGCCATGCTGTGCCTCTGAAGTTAAATGTGCACCAGTCCAGTATCGGGGGTAGTTATAATGCGACCGTCCTCTCACGTCCTGGACTGACCGTGTTCTGGTGGCCCCTGTCCCGCAGTAAGTACATGCACACTCAATTTGTTCAGTATATTAAATTCGGGGTTCATCAAAATGACAATCCCACGTCCTTGACTGACCATGTTCTGGTGGCCCCTGTCCCGCAGTAAGTACATGCACACTCAATATGTTCAGAATATTAAATTCGGGGTTCATCAAAATGACAATTCTATACAGAATAAGATTGTATTATATTTTAAAGCATCGGCAGAGTATCTGATACGGATAAACTGAACAGGGGAAAATAATGGATTTGATAAGTTTCGAACTGCGAATGTTAAACATCGGGAAGAAATAGAAGTATGGGTAAGAATTAAACATAGACAAGATTTATGTACAGGTATTTGTGATACATTGTAGTTTGAGAACAGCTTAAAATATATTTTACTTGACGGTCTGGTGTCTTTTCAAAAGATATTAATAAAAAAGAAACGTTTTTATTACTACCAAACGTTGTACCTGTTAGTGTTTCCTATCCCACTACACTGTGCTGTTAACAACCCCCCCCCCCCCCCCCCCCCCCAACCTATCTTAACTTTTGGTTGAATATAACCTTAACTTAAAAATGGCATTGTGTCTGTGAGTGACATTCCTTTCCTTCCAATTTGTAATAATGGACTTAATGAATATTTGTTTAGTTTTTCATATTGCGACAAGAACGAATGAAAGTAATGTTTATAATGTTTAATAATGAAGTATTACATAATTTATATTTTACACATAAAACATAATGGTCAGGAACCAATATAAACAAGACGTCACAGGCTTCTTTGGATATTTTGGTTGGCTTTATTAGTTACAGATGATCTACAAGGCTATGAGATTTCGATGCAAGGTATCAAAGGTGTAGCCAAAGGCACACGCCAATGTTTTGTCATCGACACAAGGAAACCCCACGTTGGAGCAGACACCGAGGTACAAAAACGCGTTAAACTTCTTCAGAAAATTGCAATATCGGAAATATTGTACCAAAATACCTTTAAGTTGCTAAGAACATTTTTTAACTGCAGAAAAAGGTCTAAAGAATCTTAAGAGGATATTCCTGTTATTCGATTTTGTTTGCTTTAATACAATGTATCTGTTATTATCGTTTGATTTTTTATAAAACATCTTATTTTCAGGTAATTTACAATTTTACTATAACACCTGTACTCACCAACTCTGAGTACCAATTCCGGATCCTCCCACTCCCGACAATGCACAATAAGGGTTCAACTAACACCGCCGTCGTAGAGACTCGAGCTGGTAGGCATACATTGTTTATATACGCCTATTTCATGTATTTGTGAACAACAAAACGTTTGTACAGAAAGTTTATTAAAATAAAAGATAAAAAACGTATATTTGCTTTATTGTTACAAAAAATAAATGTTGATATCTACTGCTGAATCGTGCACATCTTCGACAAAAAAAAAAAAAAAAAAAAAAAAAAAAAAAAAAAAAAAAAAATCCTGCAGCATATTAACGGTAATTTTTAGATGATTAATTTGAATAATGTAAGTGAAAACATGCGTATGCTATTGGCTAATTTGTATTAGATTCCAGTCAGACGTCCCCTTCTGAGTGGACAACAAGGGTTAATTGTGAGATGCGATATGTCCATCAGATGACCAAAGTGTATGTGGAGTACGACTTACCTCCAAGGATATTCAAATTTCCTGGGGTCACTGTGGAGCTGGTCCTAGATGATGACGTCCTTTCAAAGCAATTATCTGCCAAGGTAATTGACTAAATTACTACAAAGACTATTTCATTAGAATCAGTCTTATCAAATTGAAGACATTTTAAAGGATTAATCAGACAATGATTGAATATTGTAGGAAGTATTGCGTTTTTACTAACAGAATATAATGTGAACCCAGGGTGTGTCGTAAATACTGAATATATTCCATTGGTACATGTATGTTTGGACCAATAGGATTAAGAGGTTCTCAGCAGTTTGAAAGAATGCACATTTTCAAATAAGCTGAACATGTTACTTTTTGTAATAAGATGCAATAACTGATGATTTTAACAATTATGTACTTAGTAGTACCATATATCTAATGAAACTGTTGGTTACATTTTGATTGGTTAAATGTAAATATCGCTAAATAATTCACTGAGCTGTTTCACCATTTTTTCAGCCCTTCCATTTATTTGAAACCACGAAGCACGGGAATTATCAAGTTTGGGTGAGTGAAATTTGCAAGTATTTGCTCATTTAAATCTATCTACTGTACGAAAATAATACTCCTAATGCACAAAATAGTATCAGTCATTTTATAAGCCTTATGATTTGATACGAAATTGCTCACTTTGATACTGGATCTGTGTATATCGGACTACAGGGATAAACAGTAGAAGCATTTTATCGATTCTTATAACACATAAGTTCATGTTTTAAAAAGGTGAAAATAATGTATATAACAGCTTCTTATAGTTGTCTGACGGGAAACCTTACCCTGAAATATGGTAGTAATACAAGCGTCTCCGTCGGCACTCTATTGTTTGTTTAACGCACGGTAATTCTGATCTGAACTCTCTGTGCTAATATTTGAAACCGGCGTGGCAAGAAACTCAAGTAGCAATTTTTTTTAGTATCAAATGTTCAACCCCAAAACCACACAATGTGATGCTATGGTGGTTGTCTAATCACGAACGCCTTTGATAGGGTCCACCGGAGAGGACGGAAATCACTGTACGGGTTTTAGCTGTGGAACGCATGTCCTCAAAACTATGCTTTTTCAAAAAAGTGACTTTGCAGAAGAGAACACCTGTGGAAAACATAAAACACTTTAAAGACGGATGTTCAAACATCTGTACCAGCTATAGGGTGTACCTATTGATTTGCTGATATTATTACTATACCTACCCAGAACAGTGTCACGCGACACGAACCTTAAAACCCAATGGTTCCAGGCCAAATACAAATGAGAAACGGCTATTTGTACTTTTCCATCTGGTAAAGACTAATGTCTCCAGGAAAGACTTTTTTAGACTAAAGTGTATTAAGGCAAGGCAACTGTTCTGCTATGTACAGTATTAGTACTCACCGTTTACCGTCAGATATGACCATTTCAGAAATCTTATCTTGTCTACAGACTATAAACTTCCATTTTAACGGAATTATATGGTACATAGATACAAATGTATATTTTATTTTACTTATAGCTCATTGCAAATATACAATTAAACCTTTCAATATATCAATATAACATAGCTTCACTCTAAAGTTTTCCAATGTTGATCAAGTTTGAAAACAAAGTTTCTGGTTGTTGGTACCTGAACCTCTACAATGTATGTTGGAAAAAATATTTAATGTATTGATTAATATTAGTGTCAACGATCAGTTTCTAATATGTCAATGATGCCTACGTCATATTGGTCAGGTAAGTCTAGATGACTACATTGATGATGGAACAATTAGGCTCAGGAGGATGTACTGGAGAATTTCGGTTTTTTTCCCTAAACCCTGAATAATATTGACAATGAAAACATCTACCGAACACATTTTAGTGTGAGATTTCAGTGTAAAGAGCGCGACAAAAAATCCGGCGTATAAGTACAACTATTGTACGACATATTAAAGCAGGCGTTCTAAACTTATCACTCATATTGAAACCCTGACCTGCTAATTGATTACCGTTGTTTATACTCATATATTTACCTTTGCATGGCATTGTCACTATATAGCCTCTTTGAAAGCTGTGTCGTTGATGGGACTTTAATTACCATGCCGCACGAGGCATAATTACCATGCCGCACGAGACACAATTCTTAGCGTATTAATTACAACACTGACCGGAACTACAATATCCAATGTAAATAAACATTACGGCTGCTGAAATATCGCTGGGCATTGTGAGATTTGATAATGTCATTGTAAATTTATGTGCAAAATAAAAAATAAGATAAAAAACCCTTTTATTACAACGAAAACAAGACCAAGGTCTGCAATATCGTACAAAATGCACATCGGTTGAAATCAGCAATGCCGGCAATGTAGACAATTTTAGCGCTCATGCAATTTATCAGAAATATCGTCTGTTACACTGCACTGATCAACAGGGGTTCGTTATAAATGTCTGAAATATACATATTCTACAGACCTACTGACACATAAGTTACAGACCTACTGACATGAGTCACAGCACACATAAACATTCGTCATTTCAGACATTTGTAACGAACCTGTGCTCCGTCGCTAGATCACTCACTTCAAACGCTATCAGTTTCACGCGTCTCGGATCCACAGTTTCAGACGACATGTCAAATAACGATGCTGTTATAGAATCTACCGACTGTTGTCGGTTTCCCAAACAATCAACAAATACATTCACGCCTGGATTCTTCACAAAATGAGCAAAGAGAAAAGTTCGAATTAACTTCCAAAAATAACTCCCTCGTGGAGGTCAAGGTCCCATTCACGGTGTTCACTGTATTTATCCATGCGCGAAATTTGTTCCGGGGGAAAATCGAAACAATTTCAAATCAAACTTTCAGCTCAGATTCTATTGAAAAATTGGAATAACCCTATAGACATATCATACGCAATTGTATTGATACCTAATTGTGGAATAAATTTGAAGTGTTTGTTAAAATGTCAAAGTACTACTTTGTTTGCCAATCAGCACGCGATAATACGCTGTTCAAACTATTGAACGAAATTGTGTGGACTGTCGATAAGGCAGGCATTTTTAATTTTAATTATAAATTATAAGTTTAAAAGTTCAATGCTTAAAAGTAGGTTATACAGATGATGATTACGACAAACACATGTTGTCTAATCTAAACACGTTTCGTCTGCTTGACCGAATACATATGGATACTGTTTCCAGGTAACACCAGAGGACCCCTATATCTACTCGCCGCGAGAGTGCCTATGCCGGAACAGCGATGACTTATGTGCAGGCTCTTGTTTGACGTCATTTGGATTTTGTGAGATCATTTCAATCAACGAATCAGGAATGGAAGCCATCGAAAGTAGACATAAACAACATTTTTATATTATTTTTATTTTGAGTTAAGATGTATTCAATATACACATGTACTTTGGTTTCCAAGGGAATTTCCTATTTTCTGAAATAATGCAGTTGATTTATTAAGATACATATATATGTAGATCAACATACAACGTTATACTTATTGTTGTGTGGCATACTTTTCTAAATCTTGTAATAGTTGTAAAAAGTCGCAATTCCACTTAGGTTTTGTCATTGTAGCAAAAGCAGGTAAAATGAAAAGATACGTTAGAAAAAGAAAAAAACCTCCTTTTTAAGACTAAAAAATGTATTTGAAAAAACACATATTTGATTCTATATTCACCTGCCAAGTTAGAGCTTAGCAAATGCCCGTCTAAGTGTACTTGCTATGACAAACATGGTTAAATAAAAAAAAAAGAACAACAACTACACAATTGCAGAATGTTTGGATTTTCATATCACTCTTTGTTTTGTGTTGATAGGGCCAGGCGTACTGTCAAGACCTCTGAGTATTTGCCTAACGCTAGCTGCTGTTGGTATGTGCCTCATTGGTGCTTTGGTGATTTTCGGCTACAGGTATTGCAAGAGGAAAAAAGGTAATGTATACAAATTCGGTCTTCTGGAACATATATATCTAATCTTATCAATATTTTGTATAAAATACGGTTGCAATTTGAAAGGTTGAACTACAGTACCCAGGCTAAAATATCGCAACAATCATTCTACAAAATTTTGTAGAATATAGAGTATATAAACATAAGGTAATTACGATTTTAATGACATTTTGTTATTGGTTTAAACAATAGTTTATTTACAACTATTCAGTACATAATATAGAATTTAATGTTAGGGATCTGGCAACAAGTGTCGGCTTTTATATTAAGCCATCTCTCAGTTTTGTATTAATCTTTTTTGTTATTAATCAAGGTTAGATCAAATATATGTGAAAATATATAGAACAGGAGCTTTACCAATATTTAAAGTTTGAGCCTTGCATGACATTGTTAAGACTTTATATTATTTATATTAGACCTGAAGAATAAAAACATCACGTTTAGCAATAACAACGCCGAACAAATGTGTACTTTCGTCAAGTCGGATATCACCGAGGAATCTAGGGCGTACTCGTCATTTCCTCCTGTCAATCTAAAACACACAGATCTTATCAACAAAACAAACTACGGACATATGTCGGACAGAGGTGACCAGTATCTGCATGCTAGTCTGATGAACGATTCTCTTGGCAACCACGCATGCTCGGAACTAATTAGTCTGGGTGGCCAAAGTGTTTAATCTATGTCAGATTAAAATTTGGTAATCGATAAAGCAATAACCATGAGGGGAGATTATTGTAACGTTTAAAATATCCGAGTTCCTGAAGCTGTTACCTAGCTAGCTGCTACTATGTAGGGAAGATAAATCAATTTTCAAAACAAATACATTCCACATGTGGAGTGCTTTATCGATTTCATTTGATTTTAATCTTTGTTTATAGGAATATTGACATTCATATTCATGTTTAAATGCACCGTTTCAGGTTCTCGTGATTATCGGCATTCCTCGTGTTTTATCATTATAAAAAAATGTAACTCTTCTACTAAAATTACAGGTTTGTAAGTGCTATATTTAACTGCAATATATCGTTCAAAACAAGTAAAAAAGGAGTGAGGGAGGGTTAGAGAGTATATAAGAGGATACAGTGTAGTATATTTAAGTGATAGAGTGTGAAAGCTTGATAGTGGAGAAATGAATGAATGAAAGAGGGGGTGCATGGTGTTGTGAACAATCAAGTGAGAGCGAGTATGATATAACGAGGAAAAATGTAATATACAGTAATGCCACGATATCCACCCCAGACCATTTTATACCTGGGTTGTTGGAGTTGTGTGGACAGGAGAAAAACACTTTCTCGGAATATTCCATGCGTACGACGACTTCGGGGAACGAACCCCGCCGCCTGCTTGGAAGGCCGGAGTGTTAACCACTCGACCAATCCGCCCATTATACAGGCATGTTGTAGATCATTAACGTTGTATTAATAATATACATGTTGAAAGCCATTGTCCTTTAAGAAACGTGAGCAAGAATAACATAGAGAATGAATAATATTTCATTTTAAGAAATTCTATACACGATGATCTAAGAATCAAAAATGTGAACTCCAACATAAGTAAAATGATTATAATCGACCAGTACGAAGGAACTGTACAATTTAAGAAAAAAAATGCTCAACCTGAAAACATAAAACGTGCAAGTTTTAAGTCAATAATTAGTTATTGTACTGATCGGATGACCCTGAAAATATTTATAATTGAGATCGGATGTAGATGCTATGTATATGAACAGTTATGGTTTAAGACCAATACAGAGCTACGGATTACATGTGAATGGGTGAGTGCGGGAATGAGAGTGAGTAGCATTATGGTGTCGTGGTGTGTCAGTAAGCGTCAGTGTATGGTTAGGAAAGTGAAATAAAAAATAATAAATATACAGTGTATTTATCTGTTGTCAGACTGGATAAAAATAGAAAGATCAGGCCAATAGTACGACCTCGAAATTTTGAGTTTAACATAAGCATCATAAATAAAAAACAAAATTGTCCCGGGATTCAAAATGACCATATTTAATCAATACACACAGAGGTATTTGTTTTTTTCTTGGTAAAATGTTGCTTTAAATTTAAATTTTCAATAAAGTAAAGGTAGATGTAGAACGATTATTGGACTGCTCTGATTCCCAATGGTTATAACGAAGCTCGCGTTTACACTTCAAAGCTAATGTCAATACCGTGATATGATACCAAAACAGAGTTATCTCGCGTGCATCATTCATTTCCAATGTCGAAGACATCTAAAAGCATTACAATACATGAAACAATATATCCGATCTTGTTGATAAAATATTTATTTTCATTTTGAAATGTGACTTTTGTAACTGGTTTGAGAAGAATAAGCCATCGAACCAGTTTTGTTCGAACGTTTTGCTATAAAAACCTTCACTTTTAACTAGATATAATTTTAATGTTAACTTTATTTCTTTAAATACAAATAAAATGGTTTGCGAAAATGAAAAATATATAAAAATTATTATACCTAAGAGGAAAATGCTTTTGTTAATGGATATATGGAACTATCACATAATGTACTGTGTTATACAGTGAATATGCCCATGTCATATTTTTTGGCGTATTAACCCATGTACTATAATTTATCAGCCCTGTGATTGGTTGTAAGTTTCAATTGTTTCAATTGTGACGTCACGCCTAGGACACTGGAGTCAAAATGGTGGTTTTTTACATTTTAAGCTTACATGAAAATTGCCGTTTTACACGAATAAATGCCACTAATCTTGATTGTGATAAAAAGGATGTTACACTCGTTTTCATTTCATATGAAATTTATAAAACTCGTCACGAAGTTTTCATTTTAGCTCGTCAGAGGCTTGCTAAATTGCACAATGCTTACACTTGTTTTATAAATCTCATGAAATAGAAACTCATGTAAGATCATATATATATATATATTCATTAACATTTCATGCGGTAGTATATAATGTCAAACAGGCTACATGTAAATGTTTATTGTAAGAATTTGTTTAATTAATATATATATATTGATTTTCTGTTACAATGACTTATTATTTTATAATAAATAAAATGAAACGTTTTTTGTTTTGTTTTTGTTTTTATTGTTGTTTGGTCAAAACAAAGTATACTGTTTGGAAGAAGAGGTGCGAGGGCAGATTCCCTACTGCTTTGACAGTCTCTTCCGTTGTCATTTGTGGTAATTGTTATTGTCATCTATCTACTACGTTAATTTATTCCACCTAGCAGTGACATGATATTTACATAACCACGGGTCGTCATGATTTAAGGATGTACGGTACTCAAGTGGTAGGACGCCGGTCTCGTGACCGTAGGATTGCGTGTTCGAGTATCGACACGGCACTGGGTTGTATCTTTGAGTAAGATACTTTACTCCGCTTGTTCCAGTCTACTCAGCTGTAAATGAGTACGTGGTTGGGCAGTGCTAGACTTGTTGAATGCTAGCTGTGCATGCCGAAATGGCAGCAGCGGCTGTATGCTCCCCATGGAGTTGAGAAAGATATTGGCTGGTTGCAGAGGCCTTATAACCACGGATACGAAATAGGTTGTAATAACGCGATATATAAGAACCTTGAATTATTATCGAATTATTGTCAGTAAGGGGATAATTAAGAAAGAGTTGAGAACGACATGAAAATGGGTTGGTCAATTTTAGAATATTTCTTTCTCAAAATAAAATGTCTGCTATGATTCGGAATCAAAACAGTATCCACTCAAAGGTGTTTCCCGTAGCAGAATAGTATTTCATAAACAACTGTAACAGTATGACAACTGTAACAGTATGACATCACGAATTTCATTATTTTAAGCATAAATAAGCAAACGGATTAGCTCTTAATAATTTTCTCCATAGCTTTACAGATACCGCATTTCTCTGAGTAATACTGTGTTTGTTTACACTTGTCAGTGACCAAGGATCTCAGCGATCACATGACGTCGGTTGGAAGATAAAGTATCTTGGTGATGTTTTTAATGATTGGTGAAATATGTGTCGTACAGTAATCTGTAAATGACAAACAAACGGTGCCAATGAGGAAACACATTGTGATAATCCACATTTCATAATCCATAAGAATGTGTGATAAGTAGGTAAAAGTTTGGTAATCTGATGAAGCCACTATTCAATTACGCTGTTGAAATATTTAGTGGTAGAGATGAATGCGATGTTGTAATTAGCTTTTGCAAAATTTGAGATTATACGGCGCATGAGAACATATTACTCATCAATCACACTAATAGCAAAACCGTCAGAAAGCAACCCCAAACTGTATCGAGGTCCCTGCCCTGAGAGAAAGAAAAAAAGACAATGACAAACTTTAATCCAGACACTCAGTCAACATTTTGAACCTGTTTCAGATAACCATACCAGGACAAAGTGGATATGATTGTGTTTAAATCCCCTTGAGCTCGACCTTTTTCATAAAGTAACAATTTCAAAGTTAATCGTCTGATCCTCTGCAGTCATCACTGACAAAAATGGCTTGTGTGTGATTATTGTGCATTAAAAAATGCACATGTTGTGATAATTTAAATGTGTAGTACCGGGAGATAATATATAGTGTAGGACATGAAATACATTTTACACCGGTTGTTCTACCGATTCGCTATCAGGTTATGCGATAAAAGGGTACTGCCCTAATACGTCTACACACAGAGTCTACTATTGACGGCCATTATATTTGTCAACAACGAATACTATTATACTGTATTGTTCGTAACTGTCAATATATATCAAACCTTGGACCTGTATTGCCAACAAACAAAAATCATAATTGAGTTTTATTAATTATCTTGGTATTTGGGAAATGTGAACTTTGTTTTCTGAATGTTTGCTTTGCCCTCAGAACAAAAGGTTCCACGAGTGGAACACATCTTTATATTTTCTTATAATCATTTCATGAAGTTTTTTATTAATCAATGATAAAACATCTTGCAGACCAAAAGGATAGTATGATTTCTGTTGAAAACAGTTACACATATCATTTCACTAAAGGGCGATAATTCTACATGCACTAATTATTGACGTTATGACTCGATTATATAATGGCACAAAAAATGCTATATACATTTATATAACTGTTAATCCTCTCGTCTGTCTGTGAAGTCAACAGTCACAACTAAGTACCATAAAAACACCTTAATCAGCTGATTAGACGGAGGTGTTCTCCCGAATTCATAGATAGTCAAATAAGCCTGCATTAATAAGCAAAATGGAGCGTCTATTGCATATCCATGACATGCCGCCTACTCTACATTGTTCCATAGAGATATTGTGTCGTCAATTGTATCACGTAGTTCATTACAAAGACAGTATTTCATTTATACGAATTCTTAAAAAAGTTCATACAAAGTAATTATATCAGAAAGGTAAATAGCCATCAACTTGAAAGGAAAAATATCAACGCATATTTATTTTATATTTAGTTTATATTATTCATCATATTTTTTTATTCCTGTGATCCGGATATTCTTCCAATTCCGAGCGCCGTTTAGTTGTTATCTCAAAATATTGCTCAATATTTACATTTGCTCTGCGTCCTTCCGTTGCTATGAGACTATAACAACATTTGCTATTTCCACGTTATCATGCTCTTTTGTGACGTCATCAATTTCATTGTTGTCAACACTTAATTTGCTGTTCAAAGAACTGTCCGAAATAACTTAAGTAAGCGTAACTACTCTTTCAAAATGTAAATAAATGTAATGAATATTTTAGCAAATATTGTTATGGTCCTTTAACACATTCTATTGCTGACATTCTTACATAAAATAACCGGGCTTTGTTAAGTTAGTCATCAATAGCAATGTGTGTTATAGGACCATAGCCACAATTGCTAAAAACATTCATTGCTTAAATATATGCTGTATCTACTTTAATACAAACTACCTTTTTCTTTTATAATAACGTTGCAAATATGTTCGAATTTTTTTCTCTCTGTCATTTCCCGAGCATCGTACAAAAGCATCGGCTTCGTTAAGAAATGTCTTATCACGTCATACGAAAGGTACCAATACTGCAACCATTATATTTTAAGAATCGGTTAAACAGTGAGAATATGACCCTACCAGTAATAGCCAATCATGTATTTACATGTATTTACGAGATCGCCATCTAAATATTTCGACGTCGCTCAAGGCTCTGGTTGTAGGTTTAGGACAGAGCGCTGTAGATACAGTGTAAGTATAGTTCTACACTCCTGATGAGCGTAAGATTGATTGGACTGAAATTGATCACCCGGAAACACAGATTGA